TAGTTTCAGAACACAGCATGACTGAGTAAAACAAAACAAAACAAAACCAAAAACTCTCCTTAAAGGGTACAGGTCTTCTTACTTTCACTAATTATTGGGGAAATTTATGTCTGTAAAGTAAATTTATGTATTGAAAGACACTAGATTTGGTTGCTTCTCATTATATGGACTGGGTGCCAAAGAAATAAGAAATTATTAGAAAAGTTTAAAAAAGAAGATATAAAAAAATCAGTTAAGAGGACACATTGATCTGACCTTTATAGTATGGTCGCAAAATGAAAAATATGGTAAATTTTCTTCTAAAAAATGTACTTAAAAACAAAAACTAACTTAGGCAGGCATGGTGGCACAGGCCTGTAATTCCAGCAGCTCAGAGGCTGAGACAGAAAGATCCCAAGTTGAACGACAGCCTCAGCAACTTAGTGATATCCTATCTCTCAAAATAATAATAATAATAATAAAAAGACTGGGGATGTGCTTCAGTGGTTAAGTGCCCTTTGGGTTCAATCCTGGGTACCTTGTCCCTAAAGGAAAAAAAAAAACCCAAAATAAAAAGATGACTTTAAAAAGTTATCTATGCCCCACCCATTGCTCTATTCTATTACAAGGATAGCTGAGAGCTAACTTCATACTCTCTATGTCTGATTATAATTGTTTAAATTTTCCGTAGCACTGGAAATCCAGGAAGGAGGGAGACATTGCAAGATAAGGCATGCAATGCTAATCAAACATATTTTTTTTAAATAAAAGACTAAAAATTAAACATTGTACAATGTCAAATGCACAGTTATTGACAATGTTAAATTAAGATGATCTATTACAGTGATTTTACCTAGATGATATGTTTATACTACATCAGCTAATTATATAAATAGGTTGATATGTATTTGGTTGCTTAATAAAGAAATTATTAAATTGGCATTAACATATAATGCTAATATATGTAGAATTAAGTACTTTAATGAAAGAAAGAAACCTAGCAATGATATTGGAAGCATATATTTTAAGTTAAAACATCATCACTTCCACATATTTTGAACTTATGAGATTCTAGATATCACATAAGCACATTTGATGAAATAAGACCAGAAAGATCCTCTGCAATAAGTAGATTACTAGATAATACAGTCTCAATATCATTCTATTTTGATAAAATTTTTTGGTTTTGCTATGCCAAGATATCAAAGAGAAACTGAGATGTAGTATAAAGAATCTCTCAATGAATAAGGTGTACATTTGACAAAATGAAAGATTATAAAGTTATATTTAGGTCTCCTTTCACTTCTGAAAGGACTGTCAAATAGCATGCTATTTAAAGTAGTCAGAAAACAGTTTTAATCTGAAAAGTCAAACAGTTTGTCTGAAATATATGGGAAAGAAAATTTGACTCCTAATTTATGTCTGTAAAGTATCTCTGAAAATCAATACTCATCAATTGTGAATTCTCAAGAAATGAAATTAGTACACTAATTAGTTTCAAGATGTTTTTGAAATAGATTTCAGGGGTACTTGAAAGTATCACTGCAAAAATTTATTCATGAAATTTTGCTTTTTGAATAAATCAAAATAGAAAGGCATTTGTTCATGTTACGAAAACCTAGAGTTTATACATTGCAACAATAAAAAATGCTGCTGAATGCTCTTACTCTATATCCCTTTTAATAATTTGTTATATATATACAAACTTTCCAAAATCTAAAAAAAAAAAATGTGAAATTTGAAACACTTCGAGTTTTAAACATTTTGGATAAAAGATAACCTGTACTAGAAATAAGTTTATGTAAATTGGAATAAATGTAAGAAAAAAAGAGATATCTCAAAAGTTTCACAGAGAATACAGATTAAATGATAAATGACAATTGCAATGAAAAAGGAAGGCTATATGGAGAAATAATGATTATATGTACAGATGAAAGTCCAGTAACACAGAAATAGTAACTCTCATCATTACTATAATTATCAGAATTGACTAAGCCTACTTTAATGCTTTTGGAGCTTAAATAAACAAAAAATAAAGGTTCACAATTTGACTATCTGCATATACATATTTGATTTTGAAAATTTTGAACATACAGTTTAGAAACAATATTGTCAAGTAAGTTGGACTTTGATTCAGAATAAAACAACTTTATACTTGTCAACATTAATTAAAATAACAATTTTGGGAATTCAATAATTCACATCAACACATTAATGTTCAATTTATTACCTGTATGGGGCGGATGCCTCTCTGGTAGAATCAGATGTTGGAAGTTGATAATACAAACAGCCTCGGCTCCTAACCATCTATCAGAAACTGCTCGGATATAGTATTGGGAAGGCAAAGGTTCAAAAATAGGGATTGTAAATACCAGTAGTTGAGCTTCTTTACTAATGACCTAATGTGAAATAAAGTCTAAAATAAATAAAGTTCTTAGTAGTCAATTCTTAATTTTATCTATACAAGATGTAATAAAAATAAACTATGTTGGATTTCTAAATAGCTCAGATATTCAGGTACTACAGTAACTTGTAGGCGATTTCCTTCTGAGGATTATTTGACATAACAGAAGGTAAGAATTTATACTCACTTTATATTATTTATATATATGTTATCATTCTGACATGTTACCAGTTTGATTCATTATCAGAATTTCCCAAACATGATTCATTCAATTATTTCATGATTTCTTTAATTTCAAGTACCATATTATTATTTACTTAATATTTTTCTTTAAATCTGATCAGTATCTTAAGTGGAATATCTGAAACCTCTTAAAAATAAATAGGTTACATGGTTATCAAGAAGATAAATGCATGAAAACAAAATATAGCTATAAAATACTATTGCTATCCAGTCAAGATTTTCAATCGGAAGCTTTCTTTCTCTTTGATAAAAAGAGAAATTACAAATAAAACATGAGTTAAAGATGTAGCAACTATTGAGTCTTTACAGAGAATTTGACAAGGAATGATCTTTTCACTAAGTGATTTATTATTTTGCAGGAAATTATTTTTACCCCCCTTATTTTATATATTCCACGCCTCTAGAAGCCATGCCTTAAACCATGGTAAAGATTATAAATGAATTTCTTGAACTAGGATCAGACTGAATAATCAATATTGTCACACTGAATCTCTGTGTTCCTTTGAAACCAAACAGAAAAACAGAACATAACAAAACTTTGATGGCACTCTGAAATCAGAGAGATAGTAAAAAACAAAACTTGTTTATATTTTTTTATGATAGCTAAATAATAAGGTTATATTCACCTGTTTTTTAAGAGCTAGAAAATACTCTGAATGATAAATATGATCATTTGTAGGATCTTCCACCCAAATCCACCAGGGTTCTCCTACTGTCCCATGGACCTAGAAGAAAAATTATCCTAGTACTATGAAAATCATAACTCAAGTAACAGTACTGTTTACATATCAGCACCTATTAGTCTAACAACTTTTTTTATATATAATTTATAAAACAAAGTTCACTCATTTAAAGTATACAGTTCAATGGTTTTAACATATTTACAAAGTTGTACAACTATGAACATAATATAATTTTAGAACAATTTTATCACCTCCAAGAGAGTACTTATATTCATTAGAAGTATAGATTTGGCTATTCTAAACACTTTGTTAAATGGAATGATATAACAAATGGTTTTCTGTGACTGGCTTTTTAAACTTACCATAATATTTTTATAGTTCATCCATGTTTTAAACTGCATCAGTACTTTGCTTCTTTTTATTGTCAAATAATATTCCACTGGACACATATACCATATTTTGTTTATATAAGCCAATCTCTCTTTTTTCCTTATACGGTCCAATACTGTTCAGTATTCACTTCTCCCTCAGGGACTCATGAAAAGGAGATCACATCCCAATCATTTATCCTCTAAATCTTCTTGCACTGTCGTCTCACATGAGCTTTTGGGGGACACCACATTTAAACCATAACACCTGGGATAATTTTGATTCACATAAAGCCAATCAGCTCATGGCATTCTCCTGACAATATCTATAGTAAAGGAGAAGTCCATAACAAACACTTGGCCTAATTAGACTGGGGGGGGGGGGGGGGCATTATGTGTGGGAAGAGGGCTTACAGTTTATGCTGTGGGCTGAGGAAATGGGTATGTGTTCCCCTTACTCCATTAAAAGTGAAAAAAGAAGTAGGAAAACATTTGGGAAGTATCCAACAATGCGAGCAGAGCAAAGAAGTGGAAAGATCTTGGGCCTTGAACAATACTATTATCCTCAAGACTGGACCATCCTTAGGGCCTATCTGATCTGTGGACCTTTTATTGTACAAAAGGATATATTACCTTACGTAAATCACATTGAGGCAAGTTAGGTTTTACATTCTTGAAGCTAATAGCATCAAGAATCAAGAAAAGACATTCTAGGGAAGAGCTACATATAAAATGCTATCTAATCAGAGAAAGAAAATAACTGAAAAAATCTGCTTATTATGGCAACTGGTCAATCAGATATTAGAGATCCTTGAGGAAGCAGTCTTAGCAGAAAAGAAACTGGTGACAAGAAAAAAAAATGTAGAATACCTTTTCTACAAGTCTAATGTTTAAGAAAAGGAGAGAACAGTATTTTGAGAGACATCATGATTTAAAAATGGATTTTTGGTAAGCAAAAATGAGAGTCAATAGAGAGGGAAAAAATAAATGGCAAAGTTCTCATGGATTTGAAACCACTAAAATATTGTCCAGTGTTGCAAAGTTAAGTTCCCTAGGCTCTCTGAGGACAGATGTAGGGAGGTGTAGTAAAATCTGAGGTACAGACATTTTAGTTTAATATAGATATAGATATTTTCCACTTCTACCTGATCATTCCATGTGAAATCAGGGTAGATGCTGAGTGTCACTCGGAGGACAGTCCGTGTGATAGGCTGAATGGATGCTTCCATCATAACAGAAGGAATCTGATGCACACATTGTTTGACCTTCAGTCCAATATTCACATGATGCAAAATGTGACCTGAAAGAAAAATATCACATAGAAGAAATGTGTCCAGACAGAAAAAAAGCAATATAATCTGACTTGTAAATGGGATTTCAGAGTAGGTGATTTTATTGCTTGTTTTATGATTTGCTATGTAGAATAGGTGACATTCTTGACCTGGCATGTTTGAATATTTTGTAATAGTTAACTTGAATTAGCAATTCATAGCTCTGGAAATCAGTATCAAGGTTCCTTTAGGTATTAATAGGGTTCTGAGCCTTGATATTGTGCTTAAACTACAATAAACGGAACTACTTCTTTTTGAGTTAGTTTAGAACACATACAGAAATATTTAACATTTTATGTACATAGCCACTGGTTTATTCAGGGTCTACTTTAGAACTCTAAAATCACAAGAAATGCTTTAGGAATTAAATACAACTCATCCACCCAGGCCCACTTCTAGAAAACATAAAATAATCAGGTTCTGGAATACAGACATGCATGGGAATATCAAGGGTAGAGGCTGTTAAAAAACAAATGTGACTAACTGATTTGAGCAATTAAGTGAAAATAGATTATATTTTAAAGCATCAAGTGTGCAATATGTAAACAGTCAACTTACTTTGTTAATAATCCCTCTTTCTTTCTGCCCTTTTTTCTACTCTATCTTAGAGTACAAATGTAATAACTATCTCAGCCTCTCTAAACATCTTTGGAATTTTTTTTTTTTTTTTTTTGGTACCAGGGCTTGAATTCAGGGGCACTTGACCACTGACCCACATACCCAACCCTATTTTGTAATT